GAGAGAGAGAGAGAGAGAGAGAGAGAGAGAGAGAGAGAGAGAGAGAGCCAGAGAGAGGAAGAGGCTGAAGAGCATCTGAGCGTCAACTGATGTTTGCATACATGTTTTTAAGTGTCTGTTTCTGAATATGTCAGAGAGTGAACTGTAAAATCTGTTAAACGTCTTGGCTCTCAACCATGTATACCATACTCGTTGCAGACCAAGTGTGCATGTGCTATTTGTTTGTGTAACTAAAAACTGATTGACCATCAATAAAATGCTGAAGAATTTAGGTCAGATATTGCCTTGTTTATTAGAAAATCTATTGGGGTGCTGCCTATTCTTTGGTTTTTGCACAACTTGTGTGCTTTGTTGCACAGACAAAATGGATACATGTTTGTGTGTCTCACCTTGGTACTGATTGACTTGGGGGTATGGATTCCTCTGGCCTTGCCCCATCTGTCTGGGGAGATGCTGCTGCTGCTGGAGCTACACACACACACACACACACACACACACACACACACACACACAATTGTTGAGATTAGCAATGAGTTACATGCCTTCATATCTATTTCATGAATTCAGGATTTGGTATCATAATGGAATATAGACATGAAAAGGGTCACACAGAAAGAACAGTTAAACAAAACAGATTTTATGAACAAAATGCACACTGAAGTCTTAGCTCCAGAGCTAGTATATAACAACAAAACCAGGCTTTTGGTCACTAGAGATTAATTGTGGGCAAACATATTTGCCTGATTTGTTATCATCAAATACTACGAAGGGTGCAAAGCCTTCATTCACTTTTAATTTTGATAGATGATAATTCATTTAAATCATTAGTCTAGTATAAATGATATTGGTAGATATACATTAAGACAGATGTGTGATACAGTAGAGACAGATGTTTCGTGCAGTAGAGGTGAGGCAGATGTTTGGTTTAGTTGACACAGATGTGTGGTATAGTTTTGACGGATGTTTGGTACAGTAGAGATGTGATAGATGTTTTGGTCCATACAGAAGTAGAGATGAGACATGTTAGGTACAGTAGAGATGAATGTTTTTCTACAGTAGAGGTAAGACCGATGTTTGGTACAGTAGGGTTAAGACAGATGTTTGATACAGTAGGATTAAGACAGATGTTTGATACAGTAGGGTTAAGACAGATGTTTGGTACAGTAAAGACCGACCAATGTTTGGTACAGTAGAGGTGTGACAGATGTTTAGTCCATACAGATGTTTTGATACAGAAGAGTTGAGACATATTTTAGGTACAGTATAGATGGATGTTTGGTACAGTAGGGTTAAGACCGATGTTTGCTACAGTAGAGGTAAGACCGATGTTTGGTACAGTAGGGTTAAGACCGATGTTTGGTACAGTAGGGTTAAGACAGATGTTTGGTACAGTAGGGTTAAGACAGATGTTTGCTACAGTAGAGGTAAGACTGATGTTTGGTACAATAGGGTTAAGACAGATGTTTGGTACAGTAGGGTTAAGACAGATGTTTGGTACAGTAGAGACAGATGTTTGGTACAGTAGAGGTAAGACCGATGTTTGGTACAGTAGAGACAGATGTTTGGTACAGTAGAGGTAAGACCGATGTTTGGTACAGTAGAGACAGATGTTTGGTACAGTAGAGGTAAGCCCGATGTTTGGTACAGTAGGGTTAAGACAGATGTTTCGTGTAGTACAGTAGGTTTAAGACCGATGTTTGGTACAGTAGGCTTACGACAGATGTTTGGTACAATAGAGGTGAGACAGATGTTTGGTCCATACAGATTTTTTTTTTTTTTTTTAATTTATTGTACTATATTGATCCCTTTAAGTGGGAAATTTGTCTCTGCATTTGACCCATCCCTGTATATACATTGGGAGCAGTGGGCTGCCAATGACAGGCGCCCGGGGAGCCTGGGGTTCAGTGTATTGCTCAGGTACACTTCGACACGTGACACGTCCCAGTCGAGGATCGAACCGTTGACCTTCCAGTTCCCAGACAACCCTCTTAACCCAGTGAGCCACGGTAGCCCCAAACAGATGTTTATAGTAGAGGTGAGACATATGTTTGGTACAGTAGAGACGGATGTTTGGTATAGTAGAGAGAGACAGAGCTGTGCTTTCAGAGATGAGTGTACAGTATCTGCATGATGCTCTCTTACACAAATAATAATGAAACGGGAAACGTAAGGCAGCCCTGATGCTCTATCGTAGCCATAATTGTGGTGCAGGTATAGAAAATGAAATGGAAAAAACTGAATGTGTGCCTGGAAAGCAGAAGGTGTTGCTCATTTAAATGGTATGATATCCATTTAGCAACATACACTAAACCCCAGCAGGACGTGTTTCCTTTCAGACACCTATATTTGTGTGTCTGTGTATGTTTTTGCAGATCCAATTAAAACCAACATAGTGGGTGGTGACTCCAGAGTTCAGAACTCTTTAACACTTGATTCCCTCACAGAGAGAGAAAAAAAACACCACATTATCACAGCAGGTGGCATGTGGCAAGAACACACACATGCACATGCACACACACACACGTTGCAGAGATGAAAAGAAAGTGGTGAAGAGGGGGCTGGTTGACGGTAATTATACATGCAACCAGACAACAGTAAGGAAGAGGAGAGGATGAGCTGCTCTTGTTAGAGCTGCAGACAGACACATATACAGGAATGTATGAACAAACAAAATTAGAAATGAATGCATGAGGCCTATCCGTTTTGTTTGATCACCACACCATCACACTACCATTATGCTATGAGCGCACTGATTTAAAAACACTCACCTGCTCGGCCAGTAGTTGCTGCTGCTGCTGCTGTTGTCTCTGCTCTCTGAAGAGCTGCTGTTTTTGCTGCTCCATCATTTGCATCTGCGCCCTCTTTTCCTGCTCCATCGCCATCATCTGTTTCATCATGGCTGCTTGCTGCTGGTTGCCCACGTAACCCGGAGGTGGTCCTGACCCCTGGTTGGGGCAAACCCCTGAGGCCACGCCCCCAACAGGGTGAGGAGGTGGGATGGCTCCTGGTGGTCGTGACATTCCCACTACACCTTGTTCCTGTAGCGACAGAGAAGAGGGGGCCACTGGGTCAGATGGACTGTTGAACAATCACTTATCAAGAAAGCAAGTCAAAGGAATAGATAAACATGTTGGGATATACACTCATTTGATTTATTGCCAAGAGTTATGGGAGAAGATTGACACCACTCTTATCTCCATTAGTGGAAGGCTAAAGGCTAAAACCAAACAAAACCATTTCAAACTATTTAAACCTCCTCTTCAGTGCCTTTGTTACTGCTCTTTATCGCAAGTGAATGGCTCACAATGAGATCAGGTACAGAGAGAATGCATATTCAGAACACTCCCAGCATTGTTGCCATCCACAGTGACACCGTTGCACGGTCTGATTTAGGCATACAACCGTACGGAGCCATTATGCTGTATGATAACTCACAAAAACACAATCCAGCTGTCTGTGAATGAGAGTGAAATACAAGATAAAGACAGGACTGCCTCAAGATTCAGCTCGTCGGGCCACCCTGAGTCCTCCCAATGGGACATTGGTTGGTCCTCGCTGCATACATTATCTCCTCATTAGCATATAAAGAGCACTTCCTCCTCCACTCAGCCATATGCTAATCTCTAATAGGATGAAATGGCCTGCTCTGGCCAATGGGAGGGGAGCGTTTATGAATCTATTAAAGGTTAGACAGCTGAACGAGACTGGACATCGTTTAGGCCTGCCGGCAGTAAAAGAGGAGAAGAAAGAACAATTCAGGCCAGTAAAGAGTGTTTGCACACGTAAAAATGCAACAACACACACAGCCACACAGAGGAACAGACAGTGTACAACAAATCACATTTAACTGCAGGGCAAGAACAAACAAGAATGAAACAGCAAAAGCGGGATTACAGCAGCGCATCGTAGCATTGGCAAGAGTCTGTAACATATCACTATACTCAATATGTTTTGAAAGAGCCAAAGCCTCATAATCCGTATTGAGGCTCCGCTTTTCTTAGAAAGGAGTTAGGTGGAGATAAACCTCATATATTAGAGCACAACCCAGTGGAGCAAACAGAATCGGCTGCTTAAGACTGGCTCACCAGACAGCCAGACCAGACTGATCGATATTCAGAGCTACGTGTCTCATCTCCGGTTGGCATGTTCTTACCGGACGGCAGTGAGACAGTGTAAGAAAGGAGCAGAGAGGGGAAAGAGGAGGCGTAGTGTCAGAAAATGACCAACGGGTGGCAGTGGTGATCTTTAAGCATGCATGTGTGTGTGTGTGTATATGTGTGTGTGTGTGTGTGTGCGTGTGTTTGTTTGAGTCTCACTGGCCTCCTCTCAGCAGATGGCTCAATCATGACGGTTCTGATCTACGATCTCTCCCTCTCCCCCACTCACTCTTTTCTTCCCTTCCCTCTAAACACCCCACCATCAAACTCCTTTCTCCACTCTTTCTCTGGTTCTCTCTCTTCCTCTCTGTAGACAGGGGGCCCTGAGTCATGTCCGCACAATTGCCAGGGAACGAAGGAACGGAAGAGAGATGGATTTTAAAGGAAGGAGGAGGGGGAAAGTCTGAGAGAATTAAAGATTTTGGTGGAGGTGGTGTGTGTGTGTTGCCGTGTAGTAGCAGATTAGCAGTTATAGCTGAAGAAATGACTAAAACTAAAGCATGTATGCTCTGTATAGAGTTAAATAAAGGCAAAGAGAGAAGCACATGAGGGAAAGGATCACTAGTACTTCAGTGATATTAGTAATTTGCTGAAGCGTTGCTAATATACACTGAATTGAATGTCACGCCAATAAAACTTGAATAGAAAGCAGGTATCCTCAAATTAATTGAAGGGAAAAGAAAAGAACATGTGTGAGGAAAGAGAGAAGGTAGAATTTGAAAAAAAGAGGGGAAAAGCAGAGGAAATCTTGTTGTGGGAGAAAAAAGAGGAGGAAACGAGGAGGTGACGAGCCAAAAGAGGAGGAGTGAAAGGTGGGCTATAGGGGAGGAGAGCAGGTACCCTGGCAACGGTTGCTGCGGCGAGGAGCAGATGGCGCTCGAAGGAGCGGTTATGGCCACCGTGCCTGGTCACCCTCCACAAACAGACTCACATTTATCCTCCAATTTTACTTTGGCTTTCAACCTCTTCTTTCTGGGTTTATCAGTACATATTTGATTCTCTCTGTCCTAACTCATGGCTGTTGTTGAATAATGTAACAAAGAGCATATACAGTATCGCCTGTCTTTGCATCTGTTTCTCCGTCCGCCCCCCAGACGCTTCGTTCCGGCATCTTAGACTGGCTCGAGTCAGTCCCAAGTTCCTTGCTCTTCAACAGAAATGGGTCAGCAGCTAATGAGACTCAGTGGCTTGCTCCTGACTACAGGAGGAACAGAGAAACAGAGTTTGAAACTGCATCAGCTACTACAAATTGTAAAATTTGAAAAGTTTGTAAAGTTTGAAGCAGGAAGGATCAGAGCGGATAAAATGAAAGGAGAGGTGAATGTATCACAGGTTGTTCCGGAGGACGTATGTGTGTGTGTTTGTTTGTGTGTGTGTGCGCGCGCATGTGTGTATGTGTGTGGTGGAGGCTGTCAGCGTTATTGAGTTAGGAAGCATGGAGAGCCCAGGTGATTACATTACACACGAAGTGAGCGGAAATGTGTGTGTGCATGTGTGTAAGTGAGAGGGTGGGGGAAGAACTAGTGTGAGAGATTGTCCATTTCATTCCTATGTCTCATGGAGCAGAAATGAGTGTCTACTTTATTCGATGTGTGTATGTGTTTAACACACAGCAATGTTCAGCCTGACACACACACACGCACACAATACAGCAACCACATTCAGAAACCAAAGACAAACACAGATGGACAGACTACTACAGCACTACACGATGCCTTACAGTTCATGCATAAAGGCCTTTGGTGAAACACAACTGCACATCATGCGTATACACACACACACACACACACACACACACACACACACACACACACACACACAGAGCCTATAAGAGCAGCGGCGCCTGGCAGCAGAGTGCTGGGTGTCTGTGTGCTCTCCAGAGTGGCTCACATCTGTCACCCACTTGTGTAAGAGAAGAAAGGGGGGGGGGTGTGTGTGAAGAGGAGAGCAGAGAGGAAACAGAGAGTGAGGGCTGGATGGATGAGGGGATGCTTCATTAGACTCTTACGCAGACTACGGCTGCCATCAGACCGAGAAAGTGAACAGGAAGTACATCTGTGTGTTCTTTTTTGGGGATTCTGCATTTGGAAGTTTGCTGGATGTTGCAGCAGATGCTGGTTTGTGAGACAGATGCATGGAGTGAGCTAAAGATGGAAGGTCACAGGTTCACATCTCTTTCACAGCGCGCGCTAATCAGCGTCTGAATGTCCTTGAGCTTCACACTGGTTGACCTCGCACTCTGACCCTGCTGGTGACGTCTGTAGAAATATGCAAATCAAAATGCTTTGAAAGACACTGGTAAGAATCGGACGGCTCGTCTCACAGAAAGTGTGAGCTGGAATGTAGTTTCAGCATTGACATCCAGCCGGAATCAATAAATGTGTAGATAGCAAGTATTGATGTATGTAGGATGAATAAAAAGACGAATATAAAGGCTGTCATGGTTATATTTGTCAATGCATGGAGGGAGGGACAAGCTACCGCTACAGTATACAGTATTGTAGATTATATAATACACAATCTATAGTACCATACTCAACAATACAAAGCAGCCACTTTACATAATCACATAGTTTAATAGTTTTACTTCATGACATCTGTGAAAATGGTATTAACCGGTTGTGCTCCATCGACTCTCATGCAATCGCCGTAATTAAAACAAAAACAAAAGATGTACTTTGATGAAGTTGTGAAGCAGCGATGGATCATGGGAGTTGTTGTCTTTATTGTTAAACCACCACCATTGTTGATGAAAATGTTACGTGACTCAGGCTGAAATCATGTTCACGGATGACGTAATGTATTAAAGTTTTATTCACGTTACTTTCAGTCACAGTTATTCTTGTTATGTCATTACATTGTAATGAAATAGCCACAAGTAGTAGATAACTTGCACCTAATGTAACATTACATTAGATGAGTCGACTACCCATACAGCTACTGTAGCTAACGGTATGTGGCAAATTCAATTCAATTCAACGGTAAACAAGAGAGTTGACTTGCTTCACTCGCTGACATATCATCCGGAAGTTAGAGCAACTTGAGGGAATAAAGGACATATGACGCCATTAACAGGTGACTAAATAAAACACAGTTACCTTGAACAAAATTATAGATTTCTCCAGGTTTGGAAATATTTGTGAAAGTACACAAATCAACAAAACATGATTAGACAAATGTCTAGTCGTTTTAAGACATTTCATACGTAAATGTTGGATAGTATACCTTTAAGTCATCTACTAAGATGACAGGACATGAGTCAGCATACATTCTCAGTTTGTCTGTGCTGAACATGGTAGATGTCGAGTTGAAGCATAAAGTATTTGTTGTCGAAGAAAACAAACAAACATGTGTTGTGTATTAGAGCGCATGGTTAAAACATAAGTATGCAGCACCTGACACACAACCATAACGACACATGTACATGCTAAACACATACACACAGCAGATGGTGGAGCCAGACCTCACAGTATCAAACTATCCCCCCAGCGCCAAAGGTAAAGAAGACATCACTTTGACACACACACGCACACACACACACATACACACGCACACACGCACACAGACTTACACACACAGTAACAAGGATAGCTGCTAGTCAAAAGCCAGTGGTTTGATTCCTAGCCACCAGTTATGTCGAACACATCCACCCACCTACTCAAACCCCACCCCCTCAAATACACACACACACACACACACACACACACACACACACACACACACACAGTCAGTCCCTGAAGAGAGTTATATTTAAACTGCTGGAGAGGAGTCTTGCTCCCCACAGAGGTCTGTTTAATCTCTTAACATCTCTCTGCTCTAAACCCTAACTGGCCTATTTCTGAATGTCTCTCTCGCACTCACTCACTCACACACACACACACACACACACACACACACACACACACACACACACACACATATAGGATTTAAAGGGCAATGCACATAACCCCTTACTTCTCAAAAACAATAGACTGGGTTAACAGGTTTTCTTGAGATCATCCTTTAACCATATATGAACAAACATGTTGCCATGCAGGGATGCTGTGAAATGCATGTCGGCATGCAGGAGGGGATCAATTTAAGAAAATGAATCCCTGTAGCTGTGTGGAGGCACTGTGCTTAACAGACTCACAGTAACTCTGAACAAGGCATTTCTCGACATACACGGGATGCCACCCACAGACAGCACAGAGCCTGGAATGTCAGTTTGTGTTTGCAATCATGTAGCATGACATTCCTAAAATTACAATTTACCCAAACAAAGACGTGTTATCCATGTTTGTCTTTATAGTTACAGACATAGTAAGCATTTCATATTCACTCTATAGACTGATGACACAAAACTAATTTGCAACATTTATCCCTGGATAGTCCCTGATTAAAAATGTGAATTTGTTCAATATCTTTATGAACATGAACAGTAAAACTAAATCATGTTATCGTGCTAACACGCAAAACTATGATGGTGTACATGGAAAGCAATATACCTGCTAAACATCTGCATGTTACCTCTGTCATTGTGAGAATGTGTGCAAGTTGCTAAGTTTGCAAAGTTAGCATTTAGCTCAAAGCACCACTGTGTCTGTATAGTATAGTCATAGAGTCTGAGGGGCAGTTCACAAAAAGAGTGCAGCTAAGCCTGTGCAAATAAGACAAACATAAATTGTGTAATCACTGGGGAAAATTGCAGCTGCACAACTTTATGGGCCCGTTTACACTGAAATATCATTAGCGCAACCTTGAGAAGGGCAGATAGCGGTTGCAAATAAAGCGCAATTCATGGCACTATCAGCGGTCGCAATATCTTCTTTGCGAATTGGCCGCTGAGTCTTGTTCTATAGCCTGGATTTAAAAAGAGGATTTATTGTTTAAATTTCCTAATCTAACTCCTAGAACTAATCATTACATATTGTTTCAGGCCATCTTTCTCACTGTTGTTTGTTTGGATCCAGTGAAGCAGTTAAGACACTGTTTCTGAGGACTTGCTTTGCACTTAGCTCCACATGATTTCCCTCTTATGAATGTTATTACTGAGGGGGATAAACGGTTGCAGACAGCGGAGTACGACGAGCGGTGAGAGGACAGACGACAGGAGTAAATCACGCTCGTGACAACAAGCGAGGAGGCGGGAGTGTGAGCCGAGCAAAAGGGATGAGATCATTGGTGGCCGGGGAGCGATTGTGGCGAGCAGACAAGTGTACCACCCTGAGAGGGACCAGGTGCTATAGTAAATCACCCTGGAAACGGTCACCATGGAGACCTTAAAGACACACGTGCGCACACGGGCGAGAGGACATGTCTGGGAGAGTGTGTCTGTATTTAAAAAACAGGAGAATAGTGTGTGTGTGTCTGAGGTATTTCTGTGTAATCTAATCATGGTGGCTGAGAATGGTACGTCTGAGTGACAACATAGAGCAACAGCAGGTGGACTGCTCTTTCTCTTTCTCTCTCCATCACTGAGCGCTTTCACACCACAACCTGCTTTATTACCACTGTGCGTATATGTGCGCACATATATGTGTATTGAGGGTAATGTACAAAGCTTGTAGCTGGAGGTATAGCAGTAAATAGATAGCGAGAGGAAATCAAACACTGAGGTGAGTGTGCCCTGTTGTGTGTGTGACTGTGAATGGGAGGCTATCACATTCGGTCTCTTCCCGGAGAGAATTCCCAACTAGAGGGTTTGAATTATTCCCAGCTGTGATCAGTGCTATAACACGGCTCTTAATGGAGGTAAAGATAAGTTCCACACATCAGTCCATCCTCCATACCTCCCCCTCCCCCCCTCTCTCATGACAGTAAACTGCCTTTTTATCCATCCAGCCATCCTCCATCTTTCTGATTAACCTCCTCTTCAATGTCCTCCTTCACCGTCTCACCACGCGCTCTGTGCTCCTGTCTTCCTTTTTGGTCTCACTCTATCTATCCCTCCTTCTCTCATTCAATCTCTCTTTTTCCACCGTTCTCTCAGTCATCTTTATTTTTTCTCATATCCCTCCATCTAGCCACTCCTTCGCCCTACGCCGCCCTTCCTTCCTTGTTCTCTGTCCACCCTTTGACTCCATCCATCTTCCATTTATTCCCCTCTTCTTTGTTCACCCAAGGGCTGATGCTTCCTCTTCTCACCTGCTTCATTCGTCCGACAGTGCTTCACTCTCTATTTCTCCTCCTCCTCTTCCTTCTTACTTCACCTCCGCTTTCATTTGTTTTTCTACCTGTTTTCTACCTGTTTCACATTTGTTTTTCAACATCTACGCTCATCCGTCTTTATTCCCTCTATAGCTCATTTAACGTCTGGATCCGTCCCTGCCTCGGCAGCAGCTATCATTCTGCTCCTTCGTCCTCCCCCCTCCCTTTCACCATTTACCGCTTTCCTCTATTTCACTCTCTCCTCCTGGTTCCTTTGACTCCATCTTTACCGAATGGCCGTATAACCTCCACCTCTCTTTGTCTCTCCCTCCTCATCTACCTCTCTAAATCTATCTCTGCCTCTGTCATAGCACCCTCATTATGCCTTCTCCTCCTCTTCACTCCCTCCCTCTCTCCAGAGAAGCCATTAGGTGCTGCTGTAAGGCTATCACTCTTTTGCTCTTGCTCTCTCCCTCTCTTTTCTTTTCCCTCTGCCGTAGTCTCGGGGCAATAGGCTCCCCCTTCCCTTCCCTCCATCCCTCCATCTCTCTCTTTCTGCATTTCTTCAGGCGCTCTTTCCTCTCCCCCCTTTTCCCTCCCCTTCTTCTCTCGTCTTCACATCATCCGACTGCCTTCCACTTCCATCCTCTACGCCCTACCTCCATCTTGATTTCTCCACCCCTCTTTCCCTCCATCCTACCATATTCCAGTGAGATAGTCCAGTGTAGCGGTGTGCTTACATACACTCCATACTGTATGTGTGTGTATATATATATATATATATATATATATATACATACACACTGTTTATATACCCTGTGGTTGTTGTTTTTAAACATACTGTAGGCCTTATATCTGCTGGATACTCGGCCTGGAAAAGGGATATAATGATGAATAAATCAAATTTTCTTGTCCACTTATTGTATTAGAAGGAATCAGTCAACGCACACACAGAAAACGTTATCTAGAGTGCACAACCTATCCTTACTTCCTTTTGTCTTACACATTTAGCTTCCTTTCTGTGCGCTGCCCCTTCAGCTTCACCTCAGCCCATCTTTGTATGCCGTTAATCTCTCTCCTCCTTTACCTCCTCTGCCTTACCTCTCCCTCTCTAATGCAGGGGGGACAGAGCAAGGGACAGAAATATGGAAACAGAGACAGCGTGAGACAGCGAGAGCGAGAGAGAGATACCATTATCTAAGCCAGCATCTGCAATAATTCCACAGCAGCCTATTATCCACAATAGAGCCAAAATGGCCTTTGGTAATATGATGAAATCTGCCGTAAAAAGTAGAAATGGGACTAAAAGCGTCAGAGTGTAGAAAAACCTCCATTCCTCAGCTGCTTTATCACATTATTGCATTCTACTCATCTCTCTCACTGTCTGCCTCCCTCCCTCCCTGCCTCCCACATTCGGTGCATTACTGTGTGTTTCTCCAAATTCTCTCCATTTCACTCTGTTTGTCTCTTTTGCTCTGCTTGTTTGGCGATACCCCTCCTTCCATCAATCACACACACACACACACACACACACACACACACACACACACACACACTCTGTTCCTCTATTGCTTTCCTCGTCTCTCACTTTCTTTTTCTTTCTCTTCATCCCTCTCTCTCTCTCTCTCTCTCTGTCAATGTGACCCTCTATGAGTGTGTGTCGATCAGTCGTCGGATAACAGCCCGTTCTCAAAAAGTAGGAAATGGAGAGTGCTGGTCTCTTCCGAATGGAGCTAAAACACGAATCCAACTTACACACATGCAAACAGACAGGCAGACAAATGTGTACATGGATGTGTTTGTGTCACCAACAAGAGAGAGAGAGAGAGAGAAAACACCAAGCCCATCTCTCCCCCATTCCTTTTCTCCCCTCCTCCACTGCGTTGTCCCAAGGGAGGTGGAGAGGTGATGTATAGACCCTCTTCTGATCGCACGACTCAGCAGAACAGATGGACAGGGAGAGAGAGAGAGAGAGAGAGAGAGAGAGAGAGAGAGAGAGAGAGAGCGAGAGAGAGAGGTGTACAGTTGTAGACTGAACAAAAGGGCTATGATATGGTGTGTGTCTGTAGTCAACTGACGATGCTGAAAGCTCATCTATTGTTTCAATAATCTTTAAAGCTAGTATCCACTGTGTTCCCTGTTATACATCTGTAAGGTGGGGTATCTTCAAACACCATGCTAACACATTTACAGCCATGCAAGTCAACGGACTGTGGAAGTGTTTGTCTTTTTACCTGCAGCACTGAAATCAACAGCGCTAGCCCAGCAGTATCAGACTTAACACAACAATTTTGTTTACGAAAACTATGATGAAAGAAGTTCGTTAAGGACCTTTTTTTCCATGAATATAATGTGATGGTGACGAGACGGCACCGATGTCAATAAACACTAACTGTAACAATATCAACATGCAATATTGTAAAAATGACAAGACTGAAACGTAGTTTGAAATATAACCAACTTTCTCTCTCTCTCTTCTCTCTATTGTGCTACTATGACACGTAAAGTCTGGTTTGTGTGGTTGATTAACACTATTTTTGGGGCGGTGCTAATCGGCTCTCATAAAGGGATGGTGTGTATAAAATCTAATATGAAATGAAAGAAGTTTGCAAAGATGACAAAATTATTGTTTTTGGCTAGACTAGACTGAGATGTGCGATATAATCTGATGACTAAATAGGACATTTGACACAAGATACAATTAAAAAATAGCTGACAAAACATTGAGACAAAAACAAATGACTTTTCGTCAACTTAAACTGGACAAAAAATGTTTTGAGTTGTTGACCAAAACTATGAAAAAAAAAATGACTAATGTGCCGAAAACGTATTAGTATTTTGTGTGAGGAGTAAACGGTTAATATAAAATAGGTACCAGAAATAATACTATTGCAAAGGATGTTTTATATTCATATATAAATATATGTACATATATACTGTATATTTATATATATATATATATATATATATATATATATATATATATATATATCCAATTCCTCTAACCTAACCCTCTATTTCTATTGTGATGTTTTTAAAAAGCTTTGCTTGGGCAACACACCTGTTAATATTCCAGCTTGTTACAGGCATTATAGAGGACTAAACACTGAAACAGAAACCTGTTTCAATCTAAATCTGCTCACATTTTGATGCTAAATTTCCAATTTCTTTCACCTATGACTGCGAATTTCGTTTTTTTCTTATTAAACTGTTGCTCAGAGGGATCTCCGTCTTTTTTTGCCCTTTCAATTGTCAATCTGGTTGAACCTTTGTACAGCACTTTGTTCTCCAAATACACACAATTTACTTTTTAACAAACCCTTCATACAAAATAATATCTATTTGTAAAGAGGACTTTTCTACAACCTAAAAGCATGACAGACAATTCAAAAATATAGAGAAAGTCCTCTTCTTAGCCATCTGACTGGAAAGAAAAAAGCTTTTGAGGTAGCGTTACGAGATAACAACATTTTAAACAGCAGTGTAACTCTGTCTCTTTAGCTTCTAAATGCTCCACTACGTTCATCAGCTAGTTGCTAACATTGTTTGGGCTGGGCAGGTAGCGTACAGTTGGTACATCCAACGCATTTTCACACCAATGCGTCTAATAACACTCTTACTTCTAGCGTCAGTTTTGCACGTCTCAGTGACGGTGTGTCCATATAACCTCATTACATGCACAGCGTCTTTTCAAAATAAACTTCTGTCTTCGCAGGAAGTTAGGTTTAGGCAGCAAAACCACTTAGTTAGGTTTAGTTGAAATGAACTTGACTAAGTACGTGACTACCGCACGACTCATGACTCATGTGATGAAATGTCAGCGTTTGCTTTTAGATTTGCATGGGAAACGAACATCGGCCTTCTGGACATCATGTGTAACGTTACAGGTGTGTGCGTCGCAATAGACACGCCAAAGTGAGAACGGGTTGGTATAGCGGATCTTTTTCGTGGTTTCTGCAAACAGCAGAATGATGACAGAGGAACTAAATAGCGTGGGTTCATCACTACTAGAACCACTTTACATTATGCACTTCTATTGTTGATATAAAATACTGATTTTAAGTTTCATAAAATATGAAAAACTATAGCATATAGCATATAACACATACAGTGTACAGTATGTGTGTTTATGATGAGTTCAATGGTGTGCCTCGAGCAAAGCTTAAAGCATGAACAGATTGTAGATGCAGAATTGTTCATCACAGAGCATCCATCTGTTCATGTGTGCTAACATATTGCTTCTTTGAAAGTCTACCTGTGTAGATAATGGCAGACCTTCACTGGCTGACACGATGTTGTGGGGCTCTGGTAGAGAGGCTGCTAAGCCAGACGAAACCGGAGTGCTCTCCACACAAAACTGAGCCATAAAGAGTCAATTACCGCAGTTGTGACCAGAGACCCCTTCTCCTGCCGCCTTATCATTTCTACAAAACAAGAGCAATTGAGGAGTGGTTAAGAAGGAGGGAGAGAACCAAGTGAAGGGTGGGTGGAGGGATAGCTGTTGATAAAGGAAGGGAGCAAACAGCCACTCTGAGGAGATGAAGAGATGCTGAGGGAGGAGGGGAGGGATATATAGGGGAAATCATTTTTGAAGGAGTGGACTGTCGGCCAACCGAGAGGGGGAAATAGATGTGTAAACAGACACTGGCTATAGGGAGAAACAAGAGTGCGCCGGAGAGAGAGAAAGAGGAGGGAGGGGAAGATGGAAGCAGAGTGGGAGGAAGGCACGGAGTGAGAAAACAAGCTCGGCCATGTGTTTAAGTCAACAACAGCAAGAGAAACCTCAATAGAGAAAAAGGTGTGGGCGGGAAAACACTCCACGGGGAGAGAGGAGACAGATGTAGAAGCGAGGCAGGCATTGTGAAGTGTAGAAAGAGACAGAGGAAGGAGAAGGGAAGAGACGAATCAAGGGATTCAGAGAGAGATGTAGATAAAGAAATCAAGAGAAAGTGAGATATTTAGAGAGTGATATGAGGTAAAGGAATGCGACAGTATAGTTCAGTTACAGTGTTGGCTGTTGACAGCAGAAAAACTAAGGCGAGGTGGGAGTAGAGGAATGGGGTGATGGAGGGTGGTGGGAATTAAACGACAAGAAGAAAAACTAATTATTCTGTGATTCCGCTAATTAGCTCAGGCTTTACTGACAAGCTCTGCAAGGCAACAGACGTTTACCAAAGGATTCACACTACCCTGATGGCCCGGGTGGGAGGGAACTGAGGAGGTAGGGAGGAAGGGAGGGAAGGAGGACGAGGTGGGAAGGAAAAGAGGGAGGGAGCCACAAAGATGGGTGGGGAGAGACAGACGACCAGAGATGGAGGGAGGGATGAGGAGGTGGCAGTGATGTGGGTCTGAAGTTATCCGAAACCATCAAGTGAAAGAGACAGAGGAAGAAAAAGAGAGAGAGAAGAGCTAACCCCAGGGGATAAAGTTCTGACGTCTGTTTACCCATGCAGTGAGCAGCTTTCACATAAACTAACAATTAAAAAGCCCCATTTAGGCTCTTACCACTTCAGATAATGCACACACTGGCATGTCAATGAGGGGAAGTCATCTTTAAACACTGACTGTATTCTAATAATTGCTACTAAGAAAAGACAGAAGCAGGGTTGTGTGTGCGTGGTATGGCTGAAGAGTTCTGCGTAATTCTTTTAATTACTACTTCCTGGGAATGTCAGTGATGTCAAGATACCAAAAATATGACTTCAATACGATACCTGTGTATAGTATCTCGGTATCGATGCGGAAATGATACCGTGGCAAAAA